ATATATAAACAATAAAGTGTGTCATGTCCATCTGTGTCCCGGGTGATGTGTTAGCTTGCTTTTATCTTCAGTGTGGGCATCCTTCCTACAGTTTATCTTCAAGGTCCACAGCTAGGGAGTTGTAGAGTTGGGGTTTGCTGATTCCTAAGCTCTTTCCCACTAGACAGCCCTGAGGGGGAGTGACAGCATAGTTGATGGCCAGAAGGGATATACAGCTTAAAATATCCACTTGGAAACTTGTTTATTTGTCTCCCTAGGTCCAGATCCTCTTGCTCCAGCAGGGGAGCTCTGCAGGACTCTGGCTTCTAAGAGGGAATTGGATGGGGGTTTCTTCTCATCCTTCTCCTTATGCTGGAACGCTACTTAAACTGGGGTATATTGAGTATATCTCAGATTCTCGGAGACTATTAGGAACTGTGTGTGAAGTGCCATCATTGTCTGGCTATGCCCACTGGCCTGGGTGGAGGGAAGAATGCATGGCTCGGGAAAAAGAGAACTACTTACTGGATACCGACCTCTGCCTTTAAATTCTCCCAGTGGGAAGACTGAGACTCAACAGGAGCTAACCTGTCTGAGGTCACTTGGCCAGGGTGGGGATAGGCTAGAAGGGGTGCACACCCACATCTCTGCAGCAGAGGCTCCTAGGCTTCTCCTACTACTCTGAGCCTGTAGTTTTTGTTTGTTTTTGATGAAGGGTGAGTCAGGTTCCCTCTTCTTTCCCTTTCTGATTTGAATGACTGAACTTCTATGCTCAGCCTCTTCTTGATCAGTCAACTTCATTGCATCACTTCTCTAGACCTACTGCAGCTCCACAGTGATCCGGGTAGCTACCCGCCCTGCCCCACTGTGATAACCATCAGCCATTCTTGAAGCATCACAGGTGGCTCTACCTCTGTCCAAGAAAGGGATGTGGGAAGGAGTACATGTTGCAAGAGGTGCTGGAAGATAGGAGGAGGGATGAGGGGGTTCAGAGAAGGAAGACCCAGTGGGTCCTAGTGTCTGCTGAGCCTATGGAAACAGGCCTTACAGTGCCACCCCTCCTGTCCTACCACACACTTCTGACTCCTGAGGAAAGGGTCAGGATACTTACTGGCTGATGACTGTCATCTGGACCCTTTAGGGCCCTTCCCAATCTGTGTGAAGACTCTACTGTAGCCTGACTTGGTCTTCCCATATTAGAAAAGTGGAGAGTGGGCATATAGATACAAACTTTGGAAGACCCAGTTCTGGCCCTGCCTCTGTGGTCTTCCCGTTTTCAGGAGGGAGCCAGAGGTTACTGAATTGCTTCAGGTTCTGCAGGCTGCTGGCTGAGGAGCTGTCGGACAGACAGCCTGTCTCCACAACTCTGGTTAGGTGCTAGCTGAAGCCAGTCCTGTTGAGGGATCTGCTTGTTTATATGTGCTTACATAGTTTTTCAGTTTCCCAGTGAAAGATCTGTTGTGGAAGTGACCTCCTTCTTCGCATGAACTATCGGGGAAAGGACTCATCTCTTAGACCTTATTCTATGTTCAATGTTGTAGAGCAGCGGTTCTCAACCTTCCTAATGCTGTGATCCTTTAATACAGTTTCTCATATTGTAGTGACCCTCAGCCATATTTTTGTTGCTACTTCATAACTGTAATTTTGCTACTATTGTGAATTGTAATGTAATTGTGTGCACTTTTCAATGGTTTCAGGTGACCCCCATGAGAGGGATTGTGACCCACAGGTTGAGCACTACTGTTTTGGATCCAGGTGTTGTGTAGCCCAAGAGGATGGCATGGTGGGTGTCAGTGCCTGCATCCTGCCGGCACGAACCTGGGAGTCCACCTGGCAGGGTTGGAGCAGGCCTTAGAGTCTGCCTTGTCATCTGGGCGGGGACTATGGAGGGCTGTGGTGGGCTGCTCCAGCTTCTTCCCTCTCTGCCTTGAGGAGAAAGCTGTTTGCAGGTTCCCTCGTGGAGACAATCAAGTTCCACATAGCCATAGACACTGCTGTGTTATGGGGAGGAGGTGGACTCCAGGCTTTGTGGCCCTCTGGCTAGGAAGTGACAGAAACAAGTGTAGGGCATTGGCTGTTACTGGAGAGACTGCTGGGACTGGGCAGGGCCCCTGCTGACACATTGGCATCTGACCAGAAAGCCAAAGCTATCCTTAAGCAAGTGTCTTCCTTTCTGGTGCCTCATTCCTCAGCTTTAACATGCACATAAATCATACATGCCTCCGAGCTGGCCTGTCTGACAGGAAATCCTTATGATCAGCCTGTGTCTGTGACAGATGCAGGTAGGTGGTTTTCAAATGGGCCTGATCCACAGTAGATGAGGTGCTCTGAAGATGGCAGTGTTGAGTACTTGGTGATTCACTCAGTGACCCCAGGGGACCTGAACCATTCAGGCATGGCTGTTATTATCCCAGGTGGAAGCTCCAAGGAGCTCTTGTCCTCCAGAGTTTATCTGTAGCCTCTGTCTCTCACAGGAGCCCTATGAAGACTCAGTGGGTGAGGGATGAGAGGGTAAGGAACCAAATTGAAAGTAGAGGGTTTGGCGTCAAGAAGACATCCCAGGCTTAGTAGAACTGATGAAGATGGAACTTGTGTGGAATCAACAAGTGGGTTCTGAGAGGACCTTGTCTGAGCTGTCTAAACTGACAGAATACCCCTTACCTTACCCCCACCCCTGGTCTAGGCCAGTTTGTGGCTGTCCTCCTTGGCACCATCTCCATTTGCCAGGTTTTGGGTCTCCGCTTGTTTTTTCTCATGTACCAGCATGCCCTTCCCTTTGTCTTGGGAAGTCACCTTTAAGCTTACCAGGTCATGAGGTTTTGGCTGTGCTTTGGGATCCAGTCTGTTCCTTCACTAGACTGGTGATGACTTTTTGAAGGCAAGGGCCTGGTCTGACTTGCCATTTGGCTCCCAAGTTCTTCAGGAGCCTGCATCCTTGGGCCAGACCAAAGTGTCCTGCTCCTGTTGGCCTCGGTTGTTGGGTTGGCCAAGATGGCACAGGCCTTCTCCCTCACAGGTGGCATGGGTGGAGGAGTGTACTGAATCAGAATGCATGGCTCCCTATGTCTAGCTTCCTCTTCCCTGCTGGCCCAAAACTTGGGAACAGTGGCTGTCTTTCTGGGGCAGCTAGGGCATCTGGCCAGAGCATGCTCTGTTGGGCACTGTCAACCCTTCAGCAAGGCCGGGTCCTGCTTTTAACCTAGAGAAGGCCCTGGGTTACTGATGTTGTTCTTGGCGGACCACCGGGCCCCTCAGCAAACAGGGAGGCGAGTATGCACCCGGCCTGGGCCTGTTTGTGTTGGCCCTGCCAGGCGGGGGATTAGCTCAGCTGGGCTGCTAATTGCCTCCGAAGTGCTGGCCGGGATGCTGACAAGGGCCGGGCCTTTAGTCCCCTCCTCCCTAAGCAGGCACTGTGCCAACCTTGGGGGTCTGGCTCAGAAGGGCCCCTTCTCTCCTCCCCTGTCAACGCCTGCTTGGCCTAGACCCTTGAGATATGGGTAGGGGGTCATCAGTATCGACTCAAGAAGAAATGGGGGTTGTCTATGAAATCATCGCCTGGACAAGGCCAGGCCACAGTCCTCACCCTTCTCTCCTGCGTTCTTAGACACCTCCACCCCACCATGATCAATGCTGAAGCTCAGTGCTTTCTGCTCTGACCTAAGAACCTGCTGGGCTTTAGCTCAGCCACCACCCATAGGGTCTCAGTACCATCTCATGCTTTTCTTCCTCCCTTGTGTATACACACACACACACACACACCCGCCATTTCCTCACCCAGTTTCTAGCCCAACTTAGTACCCTCAGCCATCCATTTCCCTCTCTTCCCTTCTGCTTTCACAAGTCCCTTCTCCTCAGCCTTGCATGACAGAATTGACCAGACCTGCCTCTGGTGTCTCCATACTTCTGGGGAGGACTTATTCTCAAGGCGTTTTCATGCTCTCCCCAGAGACCATTGAGCCCGAGTTCCTAGGATGCAACCCAGCCCAGGGCCGAGAGCTGTCCACCCTTCAGGGCCCATCACTTGTTCGTTCACTCTGCAGTGCTGATGCTCCCACTTCCACTTCTCACCACACTCTTTGGCCCTGCTTCTTGACCACTGTGGAGTGGGGTGACTCCTAGCAGTCCCTAAGCTGCTCAGTGCTCTCAGCTTGCTAGCTGCTGCCCAGGTGTCTGGGCTTCTCTGCTCCCCGAATGTCTCAACTCTGGGAGACGGGCATGTTTCTGAGCCTTGGAAGGATGCCGAGGCTAGAATGCTGCCTCAGCCCCTCACCTGTTCCACACCCCTGCCTCAGCCTTCTTCATCTGTCTACCTTAACTGCCTATCTTCCTGAGAAATAGATAATGGGCACACTCCTTAGGAGTTGCCCTTCATTTAACTTTAAGTTCTGTTACATAACCCATATGAAGTGTGTATTGTGGGAAGGTCCTATTACAGACGAGGAAATGAACCCCAAAGAGGACAGTGAATCGGCTAAGGATCTGGCCACACACAGTGAGTTCTAGGAAGTGACTCGCATCCTACTTCCTCACATCTCCAGTCCTACTTGCCTTAGAATCTGATTTGTCCTTTTCTCCCTGTCCCTGACGTCATCTTGCCTGTTGGTCACAAATGCATGTTGTCCCTGCCACCCAGAAAGCACACTCCTTCAGCCTCTACTGTCAACAGGTATTTAGAAAGGCAGACACACAGCCTAACTGTTCCCAGGCTTCTTCACCTTCGTTTCATGTGAGTGGGGACAGGCTGTGAAAGGTGAGAAATTTACCAGACCTGGGGGGTTCCTCAGCTGAGGATTGTATGTGTGTCTGCCGTTGATGACTGGTTTCAGATAGCATATAGATGGCTCCTGGTGTAGGCCTCAGACCACTTCTTCCAAAGCAAAAAGGCAAGGGTGGGATGTTCCCATACCTAGAATTCACTTTATAAATACTTACTTAGCAACAGTACTGCTTTATCCATGTCCTTCTCAAAGTCTCTCTCTTCTCCCTATTCTATTAAAAAAAAGTCACAGCTACAATTGCCAGATAAAGAAATAACCATTTTATCGTGCATCTCAGACTACGCCATGGGGATGTCACAATGCCAAGGAGCCTCATATAAAAACTGGAGGATGGGGGTGGGGCAGCAGAGTCGGGTAGCAGCATCCAGAGCTGGTTTACCCAGCCCTGGCCTTGGAGGAATACCACTTTTGCCTTGTGACAAGAACAGTGGAGAGTGGTTCAGGTAGGATGCGGACCTTCTGGCCAGTTTCCTGGGTCCTTTGTGGCCCAAGTGTGTTGAGCTATGTCAGCCCTCTGCCAGCTCTTTGTATTTGAGACAGTTTGGAGCTGGACAAGTCCAACGAAGCTCTTTTTCTGTGGCTGTGGAATCCTTTGGCCTTGGCAGTGGTTCGAGCCTGTGGTCTGATTCACCTGGTAACAGCCTGCAGAACCCTGGGAGGATCATCTTAGGGGAGCTAGATACCCTCCTTCTTGGGATAGTGTCCATCAAACGAGTAAGCAGTCTGGACCCAACTGCCCCTGGATGGAGTTCCTGGCTCAGCATTCTCTGAAGGGACAGCTCCCCTCCTTTCTTTGTCTGGGGCGGGCCTTGGAGGGGGCCATATCTTCCCTGGTTCTGAACTAAGTCTACCAGAGGATCAGTGGGCCCAGCTGGGCAGCTGTGGGGACCCTTGGTCAGCTCAGCTTTCGTCCACATCAGAGACAGCCTGCCCAAGATTATCCCTGCATTTGAATGTGGTTCCAGCATCTCACTTGGTTTTGGCTGCCTCTTCAGATGGACAGTGAGCAGAGACCTTGGATGGGGGCCAAGGGTGTTGACCCTCTTCGTGAGGGAGCCAGCGCTAGGAGGCACAAACCACAGGGCCAGAGGAGAGTTTGTGCAGGCCCGAGCCCATATTCGGAAGCCTGGATTTTGCATTCATACCACCCAATAGCAAAGGGCTTGGGATTTCAGAGTCCCCAAGGGGATCTCAGAGCTGAAGACATCAAACCTGGAGTCCTGGACATGGGAGCAGCTTGGAGACCATGCTGGGAAGTTCCTCTGAGTATTGGTCACCCAACTGAGAAGCAGTTGGGTCTGTGTGTGTCCTGTGTACTAAACACTTGGTAGGTTCTTAACAGTTTGACTAGTGCATTGGGCCAGGCACCAGCTATTGATGTCCCTTGGGAATCTTTTGTCCTTATTCAAGGCCTCTGAGACCTTAGGTCTTAGATGTGGGGGTGCCTTAGATTCTGAGAACTCATTAATCAGCCTTTAACTGTTCCCCTTCTTGCCTCAGCCACTTAGCCCTCTGCAACCATATGGGTTCCAGCCTAGCCTGTGGTCTCTGGCTCCTACTGCCTCCCTGTACCCATTGCTCAGGCGCAAGGAGACCTGTCATATCTCTGTCTTTGGATACAGGGGCTAAGGACTAGCTCTGCCTCTGCTAAGGTCTTGTGAGGCTGAGGCTGACAGGCATGACTACCTGCTGCAAAGAGGGTGTGTGCCTCTGTATTTGTTCCCAGGATAGCTGTGGTCACCAAGGGAGATAGATATCCCAGGACAGGGCCTGGTGCATAGTGTTTGCTCAATAAATTTTGTTAAGTGAGTGAGATACCGCAGGGTGGGATCTCTGCACAGCCCTTCCCTGTCTCTGTGTGACATTTCCATTCTCAGCATCACAGAGGATAGCACTGTGAGGGTGACTCACATGGGGATGTGACTTGCTAGGCCCAAGCTAGGATCTGATCCAGGATGACAGCCCTATCCTGCCTAGGAGGGCCTAGGAGGAGCAGTTTCCCTTTCCAAGGAGGAGACTGAGGAGGAGGGCCTCAGGTGGGCTTCTTTTCCCACTTCACGTGTGTGCCTACCTGGAATCTAGCTGCTCATGGGAGGGCTGAGAGGAGCCCTTAGCCTTGGACCTGGTACCTGTCCATTCCCTTTCCAGGCTCAGATTACCAGTGGTCCCCATGTATGTGTGGGGTGCAGAGGTGCAAGTTCCTTTATTGCCGGTGATAGAAATTCCACCAAGATGGAACCTGCTGTCCCTGCCATAGGGCCACCTGTTTCCCTGGATGGTGGGTCCACAGTCACTCCTTGTTACCCACTTTTTAGTCTACATGTAGAAAAATAGACACAACAGCTGAGTAGTCAGCAGTGGTCATTGTGGACAGCCCGAGGCATAAACAAAGTCCCTTTGGTCAGTGGCAGCCACGTGTAAAGGCTCAGGCTTGGGGAGCCCCTTGGTGGTGCCCTTGGGGTTGCCTGCCTATTTTTGGCAATAAATAACTTGAGGACCCGAAAACCAAACCAAACAAAAAAAATAAAAATACAACCAGTATCTCTTGGGGTAGGTGGTGGGAGACTGTTTAAATTATTGGCCTTCCCCGGGCCACGCAGGTGGTGCTGGGCACTGCTGGGCACATCACCGGCATGTGTGCATCTCCACGAGCCGCTGGCACTGTCGGCACTTGACGAAGCAGCACCAGTGGAACCTGCAGCCGCAGCGCTCGGCCAACTCCACCTGTGCTGTATGGAAGCCACGGCCGCAACACAGCAGCTCGCAGCCATCAATGGCCTTGGATGTCTTGTTGCATGTGCGGCCTCTCGTGCCCAGCACACCACTGCGTATGTCCTGCTCACAGAAGTCTGGACTGGGCTCCAGGTACACCAGGTCCTCATCCGTATGTGGCTTGAACTGTGCATTTCGTGGCACCAGTGCCCGGGAGGAGCCCACACGACGTGGCTCCACCTCTGTGGCACCATCAAACTTCTCCTTTAGTGCGTGGCCCACCTGGCGGAAGGGCGGCACAGCTCGCCAGCACGTCTTTACCTCACAGGAGCCCGACACCCCGTGGCACTTGCACTCCACCCGCATGTGTGTCAAGATGGCCTGTCAGGGAGGAGGCAAGAGGGATGGTCAGGGACAGTAGGGGTAGGGGAGGGACCTCTGGGGACCAATACACGGACATACTGCATAACAGGACCCCAAGGCTGATGCAGAATCGAGGGGTTCACTGTCGTGCCTCCTTTGTATAAACACTAGCTGGGTGCTGCACTGAGCTGGCAAGCAGTGCTGAGGACAGACCAAGGTGTCCCTGTACTTGAGGCACCTGGAGTTGCTGGAGTCACAGTGAAGGGCAGTGTTCTCGGAAGCATTTGAGTGACAGGTGACATGATGGGAGCACAGTGCTGTGCTAGGTCTCCAGAGCCTTTGGGAAGTAAGATGGTGTCAGATGTGTGGGTGGACGAGAGGGTTCAGTCCTGAGGCAGGACTGGGTCCATTCAGATAGGTATGAACAAGGCCACTTACACTGCTGTATGACACCTACTCCCCCCACTCCCAGCCCTTGGCCTACAGAGGTGCCTGGTGACGTGAGCCTTCCCAGAGTAGCTGTAGGGCTATTTTAGGGACTCTGCCTATGCAGTCCTACCCCAGTGCCAATGGGATGGGTGCCACTCTACCTTCCTGCCGGCCTCGTTGTTGTGAAGGTTCATGAGCGCCCTGCTGGAAGAGGCCCCCTTGCTTCTCTCCCGTACGTCCACAAAGGACTGTGAGAAGGCTACGCCATAGGCGATGTTGTCCGAGCATCCTGACCACTGGAAGCCTGGTGTACGGAGGGCATAGAGAGTGCTGGGGTGAGTTTGGGCCTGGGCTTAGGCCCCTGCTCTCCCCTTGGAACATCTGTGCTTACCCTGTGGACTGACCCCATGCACTGTCCGGTCACAGCCGCACTTTTCCAGCTCTCCACTGCTGCACGCCCTTGTTACCGCAAAGGCCACACCTGCTGAAGAGATGGCGTACACAAAGGCCGCCTCCCGAGTCCCTGTGCAAGGCAGAGGGAGAGAAAGGCTAGGCCCTAGGGCACCACATCTGCACTTTCTTTGCATAAAGAAAGAGGTATAAGACGGCTGCCGAATGCTGGATGCCAAGGAGGGGCAAGGCAGGTGGAAAGCCTACATGCCAAGCACACAGTAGGTTCTTGTCACTGAACCCCCTTCACACGTGAGGACCAGTGAGGCAGGAGCTATGGTCATCCTCATTTTACAGAGGCTTGCCAGCTTGTCACACAGCACGTGGCAGAACCAGCAGACAGCCTGGCTTCAGGGCCCGATCGTTCATCTGTTCTCACAAGCTCCTCCAGAAGGCAAACGATAGTCGTGTAATTCTGTGACAGTCTGGGGAAGTGATGACTACAGTTCCGTGAAGGGGCACAGCCACACTGCGGTGGTTGAATTATTCACCAGGCTTTAAGTTTCCCCACTTGTGACCCTGACTGAGCTCTTTCTCTGAGGTGGGGCCTGCAGCTCACAATGTCTCCTGCTTCTTTGAGACTTGAAGAACAAACTATGGTATTGGCAGCTCCTAGCACTCAGCCCCTCTTGCTGACTGGGAGTGGGGGTTACAGTGGGTTGTACACAAGTCCTCTGCCCCTGCCAGCTTGATCTGTCCCCAGTGTCTAGAGACTAGCCAGCAGGTTCCTGGAGGGGAAGTTTCTCGTCCCCGTCCCACAGCCAGGAGGTGATGGGAGCAAGCCTCTGCAACACAGGTCTGCCGGCCTCTGCAGTGGTTGTATCTCCTGCCCACAGCTGCTCAGCAATTCTATTTTGGTGCCGGCCCTCCTCCCTTGCCTGAATGGATGTTTTTATCCTCCTAGGAACTGTGCCTGGGGGTGTAGCTTCTGTAGAGTCTCTTTCTCAGGGTGAGCTGGGGCAGTGTGTGAGCAGAGCGCGCATGCTGGCTGGGTGTGTGACCAGACAGTGGGTCTTACTCCTGTCCGAGACCCTGTGAAGGCCTCTGTGTGCTGTGACTGTCCTTCTGTCTCTTGATGTAGGGTCTGTGTCCACAAGAGTGGTGGGGCAGGCTTTGGCCCCTTGGTTGGCAATTACCTCTGCGACACCCAGGCTTGTGCTCCCAGCTGCCCTGGGGAGCAGTCACCATGGTCAGATGAGAACAGTCCCCTCCACTGTGCTCGTCTGTGGACAGAGGCAGCCCAGCCTGGGCTCTGGAGTAGGAGGCAGCTCAGCCCCCAACACTCGGGACACCCTGTTCTCCGTGCAGTCCTGAAACAGGGAGTACCACCCACCATTCCTTTCCACTGCCCACTCTCTGCTTGGCCATTTTGGGCCTGCACAGAGGGGCTTGGCTGGAGCAATGGAGCCTCGACAGTCTGGGATGGAACCTTCTCCAAGCTAATTGAGGTTAATAGCAGGCTCATGTTGGTTGGTTTTATGCTGTGGCCGCCCAAAGAGAGACAACTTCAGTTTCTGGTATTTCTGGTATTTCCAGGCCTGAACCAGCACAAATCTTTGCCCCAAAGACCAAGGGGGAAGGGAAGTCCCAGGAGGTAAGGCTGATGGGACTGGTGGGTGGCTTTAACTCTCTGCCCTTGGAGGTCCTATGCTCCTTTAGCTGCTTGGGAAGTCCTTGCCCATTTCTGGCTCCCACTCACCTCTGCCCCCTAGTGCCAGTGGTCTTGGGGTTACTAATCTCCCTGTGGGGTTGCTCAGGAGACCACTGCCTCGGTCTCTAAACATCTGTCTTCTTGGACTGAGGTCACCATAATGTCTTCATTTTCCGAGTGACTGAGGAAGAGGCTCTCCGAGACCATAATAACCAAAGCTCTAGCTCACAGACAGCCTACTGTGTGCAGGCCTCGTCTGAGCACTCAGCTCATTAGTTGAGGTGTTTCCCCCCCAATTCGATAGGAATGGATACGCGTCCTCACCTTACACAGAGAAGCGAGGCACTGAGCCACCAGTGTTACCCAGCTAGGATGTGGAGTAGCCAGAACTCATCCTTTTCTTACTGACCCTGGGTTCCAGCCATTTGACTCTAGTAGTGTGTATAGCTTTCCAGGTACCCAGGCTGGAGCCTCTGTTTCTGGAGGAAGACATTGCAGGGCCCAATTTCCTCAAAAGTGCATTGAGGTGGGTCTGGGAGTGTTGTGGTGGGGTGTCCTGGGGAGGTGGTGGATACTTCACCCTGATCATGCTGTAGCTGCAGGAGGGAGACATCTTTGCCTGCTCCCGTCCTGGGCCAGAGGAGAGCATAACTCTATAGTGCCCACCCTGCTGTCTTCTTCCCTCTCTACCCTGCCGTCTGCCCTTCCCACACCCACGACTTCCTTCTGCTTCTTTTCTTCCCAGACTACCCCAAGTTTTGGCTCCACGGATCTGGCCTCAATGCTATCTTCTCTGAGGGGCAAATGCTGCCTGGGGTTGGTGGTTTAAAGCAATCATATAGGTCCAATAGCCATTATTTCTGAGGACCCCTGTATAAAGGGGACTTTCCGGGTACTGACCAGGACTCAGCAATCTTAGATTGATCCCTTGGAAACATAAGGCTTGTCAGGGTTCTGCAGCAGCAATGGCAGAATGGGAGCTGGAGAGGAGCCTGCCTGACTCAAGGCCCGAGAGCACGTCACAGTGACATCTCTCCAGATGGTGGGAGGGAAGCCAATCCAGCAGAAAGGAGCTGGAACTGAGGAAGAACTGGCTGAGGTTGAGCTGGGTTGGCGGGGAGGCCCTGGGTGTGGTGACCTTTGGGCACGAGGTAGATGTCCCGATGGAGGCCAGGGAATGGGCACAGCTCCATCGTTGCCCTATGTACACTCCAGATATCTCAGCAGGTGGGCCCTCGGTTTGTCCCCACTTTCTAGGAAGGACATTGAGTTATAGAGAGGGCACGGACCTTGCCCAAGTTCTCATAGCTGGCAGGACTTGGATCTGGGTCATCACCACCCTTGGCTCCCTCAGACTTCTCAGCTGTGACTTGGGAATGACATAAACTCAGAGCTGTGTGAGGATGATCTGGGCTGGATAGCACAGGATAGGCCAACACACAACACTCCTTTCTTCACTGGCCACCGTCTGGACCCAAAGGGGGATCTTTTCTGTCCCCTTATATTCCTGAGGTCACTTCCCTAACCAGGTAACTCATGAATGTGGACACCTGCTGAGTTCCCCTCCTGAGACTGGGGCAAGAGGCCTTCCAGACTGGTTGTCACTGCTGAAGTGACTGAGGTCCCTGTGAGGCTCGCAGGTCAGGGACTGTATAGTTACTGCATAAGCCACTGAATGTCAACAACAGCCCTGAGAGTTAAGCATGAGACAGGTAAGGACCCGGAGGAATGAAGTCACCTGCCCTAAGTTTGCCTGTCTCTGCTGTCCTTCAATTCATGGGCCTCTAAAGCCAGTCCTGTGTTCCCAGCAGTGAGTCCCTTTCCCCCGGCTCCGCGGAGACTGACCAGGTAAGTGCGTTCCAAGAGTTTCACTAGCGAAGAAAACCAGATACAAAGTGGAGGAAGGTGGGTGTGTGCGATGAGCTCAGACTTATCCCCCAGACATGGCTGGTGCCTGCCTGTTGTGATTGGCCTGGTCTTAGGATGCCTTGATTTAGCCCCAAGGGGACAGGATGCTTGTCCAGGCCACTTGGACTTTAGAGCTCCAGAACAGCTTCCATTTGGCCTGGCAGGGTTCTTGTGTCCCCATAACTTGCTGATAGGGCTAGTCCCTTCCTTGGCTCCTGCCCCCAGACGGGAAAGGCAGACTATTCCACAGGGTCCTGAGGTCCCCTCCTAGCTTCAGGCTGGCACTCACCGATCATGTCCTCCCTTTCCTTGTCTTGATGAGCTGCCCATCACTAGCTGACACTACTGACTGTCCTCCATGCCAGGTTTCGGGGTATGCTAGGAGGCAGGCACTTGAGCCAACCCTGTTGCTTGGGGATGCAGTGATGATGAAGGGGGCGTGGGCAGGGAGTTGTTAGGCTTCAGTGTGAAGGTATAAAGACGCAGGGTGAGCACACTTGATTTCCATAAAAAAGGATATCTAGATACATAGTAGAGAATCAGCTATATTAAAGGATCCAGTGACTCTAATAATGAATATCTAGGAATTGCATCCTGCAACATGGAATCATATCAAAACAAAAAAATGCAAAATATACCCCCTTTAAAAAATATAGAGCCTGGGCCGGGCAGTGGTGGCGCACGCCTTTAATCCCAGCACTCGGGAGGCAGAGGCAGGTGGATCTCTGTGAGTTCGAGACCAGCCTGGTCTACAAGAGCTAGTTCCAGGACAGGCTCCAAAACCACAGAGAAACCCTGTCTCGAAAAACCAAAAAAAGAAAAAAAAAAAGAAAAAAAATATAGAGCCTGGTTTAGGCCTGTAAGTCATCCCAGCCCTTGGGAGGCAGTGGCAGAAGTTCAAGTTCAAGGCCAGCCTGGGCTACCTAGCAAGTTCAAGGCTAGCCTGCCTGTGTTACCTAACAACATCTTCAAAGAAACAACACTAGAGAGGCATAAATCCCAGAGGGACAGACTGGGGCAGAAGGAAGGCGGGGCTAGGTGGGGGCTGCTTAGCTGGTAGAGAAATGGTTGAGCATTTTGGGGGGGACACAGCATATGTGACTCCATCATAAGAAGCACACTGATTTATCTGTCAGTCTCTCTAGAGCAGTAGTTCTCACCCTATGGGTTGTGACCCTTTTGGGGTCACCTATCAAATATCTTGCATATCAGATATTTACATTACAATTCATAACAGTAGCAAAATTATAGTTATGAAGTAGCAATGAAATCATTTTATGGGTGGGGTCACTACAACACGAGGAACTGTGTTAAAGGGTCGCAGCGTTGGGAAGGATGAGGACTGCTGCTCTAGAGGATACATCCACAGTGTGAGAGGGGTTTCCGGAGAGCAGCACTATAGGAAAGCTGGCTCTGGGGCCTCCCTAGTGCAGCTCTGGGCCCTGGGCAGCAGTGCCATCCCCGCCGTGAGGCTTCACCACTGGACTGCTCATTGGGCATCTGTCTCTTTCTCAGAACAGCACAGTTCAGCAATGCCAAGTGTGCTCATGCCTGCCAGCCCCTGCCAGCTCTCAGGAGAATGGCTTCCAAATTTCAATCACAGTTGGTTTCCAACAGCATCCAAATGCTTTGCCACGAGCCTAGCAGCCGGGACTGGCCAGGCCCACAGGTGCCAAGACAAAGGTTGGCCCAGGCAGCCTCTTCCTGCAGCTCGAGCGACTCAAAGAGCCCCGTTGACTTGCTGTCAGCGTTGTCAGCTCTGCGCTCAGGAGGTGGAGAGGCAGCTGGCTTTGAGCATTCCCACTGAGGACAGGGGTTTGACCTCAGTGCCTCAAGGAACCCTCCAGTTCCACAGAACCTCTCTGCTGGGCCCTCGCTCACCTGCATTTAGCCTAATGCCCTCTCATGTTACCCGTCTCAGCTGGTCCCTGATCTTGGGAAAACCTTTCCGAGCACCCAGTATTGGCCAGGGGAGACCTCCAGTTTCCTTTCCCATTGTTGTGTTTATTGGCTGTGACGGTGCAGAGCCCGCCTGGGCACACATTCAGACCCTGCCATTCTCTGCTTCTGTGACCCCGGGCAAATCACTTAACTGCCTTGTGCCTCCAGTTCTGTACTTGCTACACGGACACCCGACTCAGAGGCAAATGAGTTAGATATAGTGTGTCCTACAGTCCTTAAAACAGTGCCTGGCCCATGGTCAGTGCTGCAGGTGTGGGAGCTGCCTCTGTTGTGCAGCTGCGGACAATCTGGTCCCTGCTGGACTGTGAGCCCTAGGACAGGAGCCTGTCACACGCGGAAGCTCACAGATGGGTTCCAGGACCCGAGGCTAGACGCAAAAGTGAAGTCTGATTCTGTTCCTGTCCTTTGAAGAGCCTGGGCAGGTCAGTCCCGTCCCTTTGCTGAGCCTCAGTTTCTCCCTCTGGAAATAAGGGCCAGCTTACTGGACCAACTGCACTTTCGAGTGCTTTGTGGACCACAGAACACTGCCTCGCCTCCCCTGGGTCATCCCCTATCTAGTGCCCTCAGTTGCATTCTTTATTTCCTTGCTCAGGCCCTGGGCTGCTTCTGCCCCTGAACCCTTTAGATGTGCCTGGCCCTAGAAGTGTCATTCCCCAGACCACCTAGGCCCCCAGAATGCCCTCCTCACCTTGCGTCACCACCTTCCCGAAGACAGGCAGGGAGTCCAGCGTGGAGCAGTTCCAGCGCCGATTCCGGAATTGGTATTGGCACTCCTCGATGGCCAGCTGGGCGCCACGGCGCACTGAGTCCATCACCTCTAGGTTCCGCTTGCACATCTGCACCTGCCTTTGGATCAGACCTTTGAGCTTCTCGCACGTCTCCTCTTCGGAGATGCTTCCCACCGATGACAGCTTGGCCAGGTACCTGGGGGCAGGGGTTGGATGTGATGCACAGCTATCCTGATGTCCGCTCTTCTCTCTCTGTACTCAGGGCTCTTGGGGGCCGCCTCATCTCCTGGTCTGGGGACCAGCCTGCCTCCCCCAGCTCTCGGAAAAGTGGTCAGTATGTGAAGCCTGACGTGGGGCTTGAAGCAAAAAGCAGGAACTTGTCCTGTTTACTGAATGAGGGAGCAACCGAATAGGAAAGCACACAGAAAGTCTTATATGGGGAGGTTATACCGTCAGGATGAGAGTTAAGTTTTATGGAACCTAGTTAGACCTGGGCAAAGCACTTTACATTATTTCATTTAGTCCTCTCGGCGAGTCAGAGTCTTCATTTTGTAAAACATTGGTTGATTGTGTGTGTGTGTGAGTGTGTATATGAGTGTATGTGTGTTTAAGTGTGTGTATATTTGTGTTGTGCATGTGCACACTTGTATGCACATCCCTGTAAGGTTAGAAGTTGGCTTTGGGTGTTCCTAAGGAGCTAGCCACCCTTTCAACTTTTCCAGCTTTTTTTTACATAGCCAAGGAGAACCTGGAACACCTGATCCTCCTGCGCCCACCTCTCCCATTACAGGCATGCAGCATCACACCTGGCTGGCATGCTGCTGGAGCCTTTTATGCATGCCAGGCAGATCCTCCACCAATTGAGTCACATCCCCAGCCTGAGCCCCCATTTAAAAGTGAAGAAAGTTGAGGCAAAGGGAAGTTGTTGCCTTGTGTCCAAGGTCCACAGCTGCTGAGGGGTAGAGCTTGGTTCTGTGTGACTTTAGAGACTGAGAGCTTGGGCAGCAGCTGCTGGGAATGAGGTTCGCTCAAACAAAGCCTGCTGGGGGAGGTGTAATCTGGGCCTCTCTGTCCCTAGTAGCATCCGAGTTTTGCTGGAGTCCCAGAAGACCCAGCCCAGGACGTCTCTGTCTGCACCGCGCTCTGGGCTCCCAGAGGACCCCTCGCCCCCGACCCGCTATGGCTGTATGGTTGAGTCTAACTTTCCTTATCCATACTGGAGTCATGGCTTCTATTCCAGGCAAGGTCTGCTAATGCACCTCGCTCAGCTGGGTGCATCTCAGGAGTGGGCCAAAGGAGATGGGCAGTCTCAAAGCCAAACTGACCACCCTCCCTTGGCATTCACTCCTGGTCTCCCAGGGCCCCTTTCAGCTGTCACAGCGTCTCTAACAGGCCTGGCTTTTTACACATGTGTTCTGGAACTCAAACTCAGGTTCTCATGCTCGCTCAGCCTGCTCTTTGCTGACTGAGCTATCTCCCTAGGTCCTGGGTGTGCACGGACTAGCAGCCCTCTGGCCAATCGTGCAGGAACCTGAGTCTCTTGGAAAGAAGAGAGGGTGGGAGAAAGGAAAGAAAAGGAGTAAGGGTCAGGAGAAGGGAACATCTGGAAGTGGCAAACCTGGCTTCAGCCCCGCCTGGGTGTTCCTTGCTTCCGTTGCCATGTGAAGGGGGGGGGTCTCCTACGGAACCACACCCTTAAGTCACTCTTGGCCTGCAGGGGGCGCCAAGAGCTCAGCTACTGGCGGTGGGCCAGGACTGTTCGGGAGGCCACTGTGTCTTTCCTTGAAGGGTCAAGAAGTTGAACCTACCACTGGATATTTTCCTGTCCTCATTCAAGCTAGGACTCTCAGAGAAGGGTGGAGACCCCATTCCCTCCAAGATTTGGGGGCACATATCTTTTTGGGGGCACATATCTTATCTAACCTTATCTAGACCTCTTTTCTCCCTCGCTTTAGCTAAGCAGGTCAGGTCTGGCTGGATTGGGCCCTGCCTCATCGCTGGTGAAGGGAGGCATTCAGGGGCTGATGTCTCCAGCCACAAGGAATAGGCAGGGAGGTCTGGCTATGGGCACAGCGAGCTAGCTGGAAATCTGTGTGAGCCTTCCCACTATCAGAGTTTGAGTTCTCCTTCTGTTGGCAGAAGAGGGCCTGCTGGTCCCATGCCACCGAACGGGAGCGATGGACTCGAGGAACTGAGCATTCCTCCCTTGGGCTCTGAATGTAATAGGGAGACAGGCCGAAATGACAGTGGCAGGGACACTGCCCGGCTGCCATAGCTGTGAGTCACTGGGACAGCGTCCAGGAAGATGATGAGAAACTGCCTCCAGCGGCACCAGTGCCCACCTCCCAGTCCTGCCTTTACTTGACACAACAGCTGCCCCTCCCATGTTTGGGAGGCCTTGCCATCTCTGCTCCTGCTTTCTGAGACCCCAGGGGTTTGTTTGGCAAGTGCCCGAGCTGGCATAGGCCAAAGAGGGTTGGCACCCCAGTCCTCGGTAGCCTTGGTCTGTCCTCATTCTGCTCGCTTGTCCTGGAGCCTGGCCGGTACCTGACCTCACTTCACAGATGAACCAAGCAAACTGAGGTGGAGTGTCTAGCAGCAAACAGCTCTGGGCTCTCAGCTCTCCCCTGTCTCTGGCTGTGGATTTGCCCCACTGGACGGCAGGAGAGCTGACTCCTCAGGCTGCAGCTCTTTGGGCACGGCACACAGAAGGTATTCAGTAATGTTTGCAGCTTGGCTAGGGGACTTTGTCCTGATGCCCTCCTACCCCCGTGGCAGAGTATATAAGGGAAGGAAGAACAGGGGTGAAGAGAGGAAGATGGGGGCAGCCTTGTGGTCCTGCCTAGTGCCCTACAGTGGCTCAACCTTTCCCCCAGAGACACGTGTGCCATTCACTGACCCGGGAGCTGGGTCGGGCTCAAATATCGACTGCACAAGCATTTCTGGGAGAGGCAGAGCCAGGGCCTGATGGCTGTCGGCTGCCCCTGGGCCGGCTGTCTAAGGCTGATCATCCCTGCTTTTCCCGGCCTGTTACGCTGCCCCTGTTTAGGCTTCTTCCTGCTGTTGCCGAGCACAGGTTTAGCAATTTGCCACCTGCTGCCCTGGCCACCCAGGACTCCAGCCACGGCCGTGCCATCGATCAGGTTACCCCACCAGTCCAGGGTGCAGGCTGCAGCCGCTGGCCAGTTTGTGCCCAGTTTCTCGAATGGGGCCTGTAGGTCTTGCAGGCTCCTCCCAGGAGGCCCTCCCCTCCGTGCCTGCAGCCTGCGAGGAGGAGGCCGGAGGGCCCTGGCCCTGCCAGGGAGATCAGATCCTCTCGGCCACCTGCTGTTTTCATTAGAAACTAAAATTAGCTGGGCTTGTCCCAAGCTTTTCCAGGTTTGCTTGCCTTTTTAAACAAAATATACAAAATCAGAGAGGCTAATCCACACCTCTGTGGCTCTTCCCCGGGGGCACTCCCTGGACTCTAGAGGAGAGGGGCCGGGAAGGAGCGACCATGGTGGGGAGCCAAGCAGGTCAGTGGCACTGGTCCGGGCCCTACGGTGTCCAGGTGGGGGCTGGGACACCAGCCCAGGCCTCTCTGCCCCCTCCCTTTGGCCTCCCTGTCTGCCCAGGCCACATTTAGAGCCTCCTCAGGAGTAGTTGTGCCCTCCATACCAGAGAGGAAGGAAGCCAAGTTGGCAGGAGGGGGTACCCGAAGAGAACAGTGTATAAGCAGGAGCGACTCTCAGCTAGTGGATATAGCTAGGTGGAAGCAGGGGCCACAGCCTCCATCTGGGGCCGTGCTTTTAGGGAATGGAAGGAGTGTGCAGCCCCCAGGACCCTTGCTACACAACCAACCACTCAAACCACCCACTGCTTCTTTAACCAGTTTGAGTGCCTGCGGTACTGACCACCACTGTGACCCTGTCCCAAGACCCCTGTCTCTTCTCTGGGCAAGCAGTGTGTTTGGGGGCTGGGTAAACAATTCAGGTCAGACTCGTATCTCTGTGTCACTCAAGGCAAGTTAGTGAACATCCAGGAGCCTTGGCCTCAATGTGCTCCTCTGTAAAATGGGGAGATCAGTTGTTCTTACCGTAGAAGATAGAAATGAACTAAACACACCCCAGGCGGAAGTACCGGGAAGCTTCTAACCTCCTCTGTGGCCCTTCCCACCCTCCTCACACTGCACCCTCTGCTGCATCCAGCTGGGCCTGTGGTACTCTGTGCTGGGCTGTCTTTGTTGGGGCCTTCTCCACTCTCATGAAGCCAGGCTCTGGCCTCATTTCGGGCATGCGCCCACAGGGGAATGAATGACGGATCACTTTGGTACGATTCGAACAGTAGATTTTGGAATCTCCAAGTGCATTTGCAGAGACAGAGAACAGGTCCCCAGTGCTTCCAGCTCATCTGTGGGGCACTCCCAGGACCAGGGGTGAAGTGTGGTGTGGAGGAAATGTCTCCACAGGGAGATTAAGAGCTGGGGACTCTCTTGTCCAGTGTAAACTCACGTGTGCCAAGGGAGCGAGGAGACTGTCTGGGGAGGGACATCTGTCACCTGTGTCATCACTTAGGTCCATGCTTCTGCATAACCATGCCACTACAGAGCAGAGCATCCCTGCCCCTGACCCCTGCTCTCCAGAAGGCACTAAGGCTTCAAGGCTTGGACTCAAGCTGGTCACTGGGGCTCAGGACTTGAAACGAGCTATTCTGGTCCCCAAGCCTGGGAGCTGGCTGCTTGGGCTCCAAAGATGGCCTGGGGCTCCAAGGGTAGGACCACCCAGTGTCATCAGACACTGACCTAAGCAAGGTGGTCTGATTCTTCCCTGGACGGCTCCTTCCAGAGACCTGTACCTACCGCAGGAGACTTGGAGTATTGTTAGGAGTGAAGGATGCCGAGGTAGTGGCTGTCCCTATGGTTACACAGTGTTATCTGTGGTCTCTGTAGCTACTGAAGTCACCAGATGGAGGTACCACCACTGGCTGAATCCTGGAGGGCAGTCAGTGTGGACTGGCCAGCACCGGAGACACTCCTGGTGTTCTGTCTTGCCTCCCTCCCACCTGACAGGACTCTGAATGCCAAGGCCAACTGGAGTAGGCCCCGTGTTTGTTTTCTAAGTTGGAGAGAAATGCTGACCTTCTCTGGGGTCCACACTTCCTGATTTCTAGGATCCCTAACTCCTCTTACCCACGACCCTCAGAAGACTCAGCATGCTA